TCTTAAACCGCTATTTTCTGCACCACACTTAAACCGCACCGCACCTCTTAAACCGCTTGTCCCGCACCGCCCAAACCACTGTCACCATTCGAAGCCTTTATATCTTTTTGTTACGGCAACACAAGCGAGTTCTCAACGAAAAATGAACGATTTGATCCTCAGGCATTTGAAGACCAAACAAGATCATAGCATTTCATAGAAAGAGTTACATTAGTTGGTATCAAATTCAGCTGCTTTACTTTTTTTAATCAAAACAAGGTCTTTCGACATGTATGTGACAAGATAGCTCCCTACAAATCTACCGTAGACGAACAAAATGAAGACTTCATGGAGAACTTCACTAATGCTTGTAACATGCTTTGCAAATAGCAGTGGAAATCGCCATGATAAAAGTGCTCAAAAACCAACAACAAGGAGCTTAGACCGCAACTGCCCACAATTTCAATGATGGAAGTGATGACAACGTGTTTGCGTTTCAATATCTACCTTAGGAAGAACAATAGCTAGTTTTACATGAGCAAACTAATAATTGTTAGGAATTCGGGTTTAAATTTGATATACGTGATTTCCTAGAACACTAAATCCTAAAGATTTTTTTTTATTGGATTAATATGGAAGAAGAAATTTTGTATTTTAAAGGAGTACTTGGTGATATGCGTGTACCATTGGTTGCAATGAGTTTAAAAAACTGAGCATCGGCGTGGTAGATTGCAGTCGCAAGAATCACGACATCGCTCTTGCAAATCTCGAATCGATTCATACAAACGCCTTAGAGCATCCTTAATGGTGACACCATTAAGGGTTCTTAACTCATCTTTTAGTATTAAATTTAATATTAGTTTAGTGTTTGAAACTCAATTAATTTTTGCTAATATCTCTATGTCCAATGGTGAGATTTAGAAGGGTTCTAAAAAAAAGATCAACACTAGGGAATTTCTTTCTTTCAAGTCATTTGGTTCTTGAAGTACTTACATGAGAGAGCAGCTACAAATTCTAGTGTTAAACGAAAGAGAGACAAAAGCTTAACTAATAAACTCAAACTACTTCTTAAGCCACGGAATGGTTAAAACATGTMACCATTTTTAGGTCTAAAYGAGGACTGTTTTTGTTAGTCTATYGAGATTATAGTTGATGCAATTACTGGGATCTTTTGGTTTCCACTTGRAAGCTTTCTTCATTCTTTTTGCAGCTTGAACGAATCCTACAATCACCTGAACCAGAAATAATATGAGTGTGTTTGCAGCTTGAACGAATCCTACAATCATCCATTTGCTGTGAACCAGAGACAACACAAGTTCAGATACATATGTGTTAGCTTCTTTGCCCTTTTGAAGAACATGTAATGTTACCTGAGACATGAAGTGTCTTTGAACAATGTCAATTAGTTGCTCCTTTGATGGATTAGGAAAAGCATCCACCTTACAAAATAAGAGATCTATCACAGTGTTATCAAAAACAAAAACTCTCTTCCACAATTAGCAAGAGTAGTAAAAGACTCGTCCCAATAAAGAACTCTCAAGGTTAAACTGTCACCAATATCGCACTAATGCAGGCATATCCAGTTTGCTAAGATCAACATTCTGCATTAAAACCATACTTTTCCTCATCAACAACTAAAAAAAATTCTTCCTCACTGCTTAAAACATTGAAAATGAGTAGTCCTGAGGCATACCATGTTCCCACGAGGAGTTAAACTCGAGGGTTTTGAATGTGAGTCACAAGATAAGGCCCTGCACATTGTTTTATGAGATAAACGTGCTGATTTTGTCCTCTTTGATTCGGCTTATGAGGTTTCAGAGTTTCTTCAAATGCTGCAAGATACAAACAAAAGAACATATCTTTAACACTAGTCAACATTAGAGAGTTACAGAAAAACCTAGCACCAAGACACATTAAACAACGGATTAATCTACATGTTCAATGTTCTATGAAATCAAATCAAATTACGAGTAAACCTAATAAGGATTCGATCCCAGAAACACGGCAAAGTAACAAACCAAAAGAGAAACAAAAGGATTAGCCAATTACATAAGGATTAGCCAATACACAAATCACAGAAGGAGCAACCACAGATAGCAATCACAGAAAGGATAAACACGAGTACCTGAACCTCTTGGGAAGCAGATCTATTTGACTGAATCGACATGCAGTAGCTACAAGGAGAGATCACGACGGCCAAGAGAGATGAATCGGCCAAGAGAGATGAATCGCCGTTTGTGGTTCGATTGCCAGAGGGTGAATCGC